CGTCAACAGGAGCTACAGCGCAATCAGGTGAACTACTCTGCCTAAGCAACCAAAATAAAAGTCATGTGCATTCACTCTGCGAGATACAAACATTACTGTTAACATTCAGTGATATACATCAATTATCAAAGCATAATTACATTAACAAGGACATACATTTCAAAGGAGCTGTCCAGAAAGTGGCCGGTTTAACTGTCAGCAGATGAGCTTTAAGGAGTTCTGAGCAAGTTATGAACGTCTTATGCACTCATATGTTCAAATATAAAGTGTTGCTAGGTAGATAAACTCATAAGTATACAGTAAAGTAAGCACGAGTATGTTCACTATGAAATAGATGTGCAGATTTTGTATCCCAAACTTAAGTTAACTTTGGCTCTGGACAAGAAAAGGTGGTCAAGTGCACTCTGAGGACTGCAACGAACCCTTAAAATGGCCAAACGCTAATGTGGCTAACAATGAATGGAAGTTTGTAGACACCAGTGTCATTTTATTCGCATAATGCTAACTGGTGGCTATTCATGGTCATTCATTTTTAGTAACATTGGCAGCTTTGACTGATCCATCACTTCAAAGCAATGACCACCAATCACAGCACTGGAGACTGTTTTTTTTTTTGTTTTTTTTTTTAGCTTTTTTTGTTTTTATTAATCACATCCAGTTTGACTCATCAACTTATTATCAAGCCCTAAAAGAGCCGATACGGTATGTTAAGGCAGAAAAACACCAGGACTGGGACGAGAAACCCGCCCTACATGCTGATAAAACTTTTCAGAACTGTTTCCGGTTGTTCTACAATTAAAGTAACGGTGCAATAATAAGAAGAACGTCGTTTTTGTTTGTTTGCTTGCTTGCTTTTATTAATCACATCTAGTTTGACTCATCAACTAATTATCAAGCCCTAAAAGAGCCGACACGGATGTGTTAAAGCAGGAAAACACCAGGACTGGGACGAGAAACCCGACCTACATGCTGATAAAACTTCAGAACTGTTTCCTGTTGTTCTACAATTAAATGGTATAATGGTATAATAATATGGAGGACGGCGTTTGAGTGACAATTCTGGGACGCGGTCTGTCTCCATTATCAACCATTATAAAATCTCCATTATCGACCATTGTGAAGGCCTTCTCCTTCAGGACCTCACTGAGACACCACTTAACCCCACGGCATCCTAGAGACTACAGTTCAGAGCAAATAACAAATAACTTTTTGTTTCTACACTGCTCTATTGAAAACACTGTTCGCTACATAACATTGACATCACCATATAATAAACAGGTCAAGACAGATGTGATATCCTATCTTGAGTTGTCATGACAGATTATGTCCAGTTGTATCACAGTGTCACGTTACCCTTACTGTTATTTGTGATGACATGTCATATTTGATGTTATGATGGCTAACTATGATGACAAATATGATGACATCAGTCATGATGATTGAAAGTAATGGTAACTGACACTGTTATATTACTGGACATTAATCTGACATGTTCACGGTACGGTTATGTAAATAGTGTAGCAGTGTTAGTGTCACCGAAAAAAAAAAAAAAAATCACATTTATTGTGCCTTCAAGTGTGTGTGCAGTTGAAAAGAACAAGGTATTTCATGCAGAAGGCACTTACATTTCTGCAGGGGACAATGATTTGGACCTCTCTCTCTCTCTCTCTATCTCTCTCTCTCTCTCTCTCTCTCTCTCTCTCTTCTATGTAAACTCCTTAAGCTACTTTTATCAGACAAAAATACTGCACAGGTTACAACTAGCAATAGCAATGGAGCTCAAGCATTAATTGCACTGTAGAGAATGAAGACAGAATTGTGACAATCAAGTCCAGCACAGATAAAGTAGGGGAAGAGTCCAGCAGGGCATGTATAGGGGGGCTGGACTGCTCTCCTTTGGACACTCAACAGCACTTCTGGACAGTGTAGGTGGGCGTGGTTTCGAGGGACAAAGCTCAGTCCAGAGTGCAGAAAACCAAGTGAGGGCAATGAAGTTTCAGGATGAATCAAGTGAAGCGGTGAGGGGGGGGGGCACTAAAGAGAGATGAAAAATGAGGGAAGAGCATGATGACCGCTAGTGTGATGAGGAGAGGGGTGAGCCTTGCAAAGGGGGGTATAAGAGGAAGTCAGAAGAAGTGGGGATAAATGTCAACAAACAGGGAACAGATAAAAAATAATAAGTTGACATGGTAACTTGCTAAATAGTGAGCCAGCAAGAAAAAATCAAAACTACACTCCTAAAAGATGGTGCTTCAAGGGTTCTTTAGTAAAGAAAATGGTTCTATACAGAGCCATGAACACTCAAAGAACAGTTTGCATGAGTAAACGGTTCTTTGAATCGTGAAAGCGCTCTTCAGACTGATGGAGTGCTGCAGATGGTTCTATACAGTACCTTTTTTCAGAAAATGGTTCTATATAGCACCCAAAAGGGTTCTTATATTGTTGTAACAATAGAGGAACCCTTTTGAGATGATATAGAGAACACTTTTCATGATTCATGACACTTTTTCCTTTAATTCAAAGAACCCTTTCATGATGCAAAGAACCTTTTAATCATGCAAAGGGTTGTTTGAGTGTTCACGGCTCTATATGGTTCTAAACAGAACCTTTTTGAATATCGTTCTATATAGCACCCAAAAGGGTTCTTCTATTGTTTTGGTGTCAAGTTTGTAACAATAGAAGAACCCTTTTGGATGCTATATAGAACCCTTTTTTTAAAGATTCTATGTAGAACCATCTATAGCACATTCATACACATTTTCTATCAATTCAAAGAACCCTTTTATGATGCAAAGAACCTTTTAATCATGCAAAGGGTTCTTTGAGTGTTCATGACCCTATATAGAACCTTTTTGAAAATGGTTCTATATTTCACCCAAAAGGGTTCTTCTATTGTTTAGGTGTCAAGCTTGTAACAATAGAAGATCCCTTTTGGATGCTATATAGAACCCTTTTCAAAAAGGTTCTATACAGAACCATCTATAGCACATTCATACACATTTTCCATCAATTCAAGGAACCCTTTCATGATGCAAAGAACCCTTTAATCATGAAAAGTGTTCATGACTCTGAATAGAACCTTTTTGAAAATGGTTCTATATAGCAACCAAAACAGCTTGACACCATAACAGTTTTGGATGCTACATAGAACCCTTTCCAAAAAGGTTCTATACAGAACCATCTATAGCACATTTTCCATCAATTCGAAAACATTCATGATGCAAAGAACCTTTTAATCATGCAAACGGTCCTTTTGAGTGTTCATGGCTCTATATAGAACCATTTTCTTTACTAAAGAACCCTTGGAGCACCATCTTTTTAACAGTGTACTGTGTCACTGCTCACACTGATTAAAGCAGCGTTCTCCTGAAACTCATATCTTCTTGCTCGACAGCTGAGACAAATAAACAGACATCTAAGAATAGATCAGGTCATTGTGTCCTGTAGCAAGGCCACCATCTGATCTTCTTGTTGGGATAAGAGTTGTCTGTCCACCATAAACCCTGAACCACTGGACACTTCAATAACCACTTCTCCAAAGGGAACCTACCTGGCAGTTTCATTAAGGCCAATTCGACTTATTTATCATCTGTTCTAGCTAATGTTCAGTAGAATTACCATCTGAAATGCATGACTGTGCCAACATGTAGTCACAGTGAGTTGTGACTCATCACTGATTCAATGCTGCCACATGATTCTTAATAACAAGCTTCCTCTTCAAGGATAAAAACATTACCACTGTCTGGCAGAAGACAATGTCATGCATGCTGTAAAAGCGCAAGACATAATGCAGCTTTCAAAAGATCTTTAACGAGATATTTCACTTCTGGACCAATGCAACCCCTTAAAATCAAAGGCTATGCGGTAATTTTATAACAGTTACAGAATAAATGGTAACACTTTATTTGAAAGCTACCTACACAGGGACTTTATAACATGTATTTGCACTGAGTATTTATGAACAGCTTATGTTTATCATTGCCGAGTATGGAACTTCTACAAAATACGCCCTCAAACTGTAATGATACAGGAAAATATGTAGGGAAAATGACCACTTCAGTTTGAGGTCATTAGAAAACTGAATATGCTATGTTGTTCTTAACTAGGCCTCTGCCTTATGAGCTGCATTACTTGGGAACAGTGTTTCATAACAATGGAACAAATGGAACAATAGTTCATCACTTTAGTTTAAGGGCCCTTGTATTAATGCAATGAATTAATACAATCTTATGTCATCTTTCGGTTGGTGACGTAAGCTGTTCATAAATGCTCAATTATTACATTTTCGGTAACACTTTACTTGACAGGTGTCTACATAACACATTCATAACATCTTACATAAACATGTACTTCATAACATGTTCATGAATGTTTAAATCAGCATTTTTGAAGTACATGTTTTACACAATATTAATATGGATTACTATGTCATTTTACTCAGATATATTTTTCAAAATAAAAGACTCCATTTTTGATTTTGAAAAATGATATTATTTTTAATGAAATTTCTCATTTCCGGACAGCCAAAATAAAAATGACCTGGCTTTGCCACTTTGGACAGAAAGTGCTTTGAGACTAATGCAAAACTAAACTAATTAATCAATCCTTGGGATAACAGTGCTAGCATTTAAACCCAAGACAGTTTATTAAGCATTTAATAATAACGTCTGGTCAACAATGTATAGACTGTTAGGTTTATTTTCTGTCACATTAAAATTTTAAAGAAGATATAGAGTTAAAAGGAGGAAGAATAACAAAGGGTAAAATACAAATGCTTAAAAAAGAACAAATAATTAAAAGTAAGTTGAAAGTCTAGGCAAAATGTGCCTACTTTCTGTCCAAAGGGTCAAAGCCAGGTCATTTATATTTTGGCTGTCCAGAAATGAGAGGTTTAACTGAAAATAATATATATTTTTTTCAAAAATAAAAAAGGCTTTTATTTTGAAAAATATATCTGAGTAAAAATGACATAGCAGTCCATATTAATATCATGTAAAAACATCTATACTTTTTCGAATGTTGATTTGAACGTTCATGAGCATGTTATGGAGTGTTTATGTAAGTTGTTATGAACATGTTATGTAGACACCCTTCAAGTAAAGTCTTTTAGGTATGTTATTAAATGCTTGTGCATGTGTTACGGAGTCCTTATGTAGGTAGCAGGCCTGTCACCATCATGAATTTTGAGCTGACGATTATTTGTCATGTACATAATTGAGATTAACATTTAATTGTCTTTTCCTGTTTGTTTTACAGGAAAAGATGATTAAAGTACAAACCTCAGAAGCTAACCTGGCCTATTAGGCATCTTGCTTCCATGCTATCTATTTGCAATTAATAGCAGATAATCAACAAATTAAAATTAAAAGTAAGTATCTTTTGTTTTCATATGACCTGTATCTTGTGCCAAGTAATGCTGGTCAGTTTTATATTATTTAGATATTTATTTTAAGCCAAATGATAAACGCATCCATTTCACATTCTTATGTAATTTCATTTGTTTTTCTTGTTTAATTATAGCCATTGCTTCACCTGTTTGGTTCTTCTCAAGGTTTCATCCTCTTGCTTTTAGGATTTTCCCTGCCACTGTCGCCACTGGCAACACTCATGGGGACTCGGACCGGGATTTTTCTGTAAAGCTGCTTTGCTTTGTTGTAAAAAGAGCTATATAAATAAACTTTGACTTGACTTTCTGTTTGTTGTGATACAGTGATTCGGAAATGACCGCCAACTGTGGAAAATAACTGCGGTCAGTTTAAATAATTGCAATCACCTCATATAATTGCAATTAGGTGATTATGTATCGAGACAGACCTGTAGGTAGCCTTCAAATAAGGTGTTACTGTATGATTTATAGTAGATATTGAATAGTTTTAAGACTAATAAGTGAATAATAAATCTGCATTGGCTTGATCTCCACATCTGACACACTGAACACTGGCCCAAAATCTGAGCGTTTTAGTTTCATGAGAGAACAGAGACCTGAATGACCGAGAGAGAATGTACGCATGCAGTGGAATACAGATGTAGTGCTGTTGAGCAGACAGACAGACAGACGGCAAGACACACAGGCTGAACTGGGGAACAATCAGTGTATAAGCGAGGCAGAAGCCAGAAATGGTTCAAAGGGAACAAAAAAAAACAATATTTTTCACAGAACGTAACCAAAAACAGAAACAAACCCACTTTCAATTTCCAGAGTGAAAACTTTATTTTAAATGTGCTTAACTGGTTAAATAACATTATTATTTTGTTCCACATAAATACAAGAAAGGTGTTTGGTGTTCCTGTTAGTTTAATACACCTAATCCTTGCACATCATGCAATATTTATTAAAAAAAAAACAAAAAAAAACAGTTTTAAATCATCAAGTCCATGGAATGCATAAGCAGGAAATAAATGAATAAATATATATGCACATTAACCAGAACAAAATAAACATTATAAACCAGTTAGACACATTTTAAAATATAAAGTTTTCACTCGATTTTGTTCAGTGAAAAATATTAGTCATTCTGTTTTCATTGCCTATACAGTTTCTACTCCCTAGAGCTAGGGACCTATGGGGGCTGAGGACCAAGGGGGACTGCTGTTAAGTTCTGGGGGGTCGTATGTGGGTCCAGACACTAGCTCAAGGCAGGGCTGGGGCAGCTAACAGCTGGACAAAAAGCTGGACCTGGAGCAGGACTCGAAACTGGAGCTGTTTGGGGCGGAGAGCTGGAGGGGGGCACTGGCTCTGGCTTGGCTGCAGGTCAGGACGGGACGAGGGTCTGACGCGACTCTCCTCTCAGCTCCTCCGTGACTTAGAGTGCTGAATTAGCCACTGCAGCGTGATATCTGAGACAGGCAACGAGAAAGAGAAAATGGGAAAATGAGAAAGTGCTGCCTTACAAATGCAAAAGAAACAGGAGCCGACTTTAACCAAAACCAAAAATCAAAAAAGGAGGGGAATCTGGGCAGGAAATACATCCTAAAGGGAAAGAGAAAGAAATTCTACAGACACTCCAAACAAAAGTGCCAAATCGACCTATTTAAAAGCTTCTAACGCCTGTACTCATGAACTCAATACAGATATCTAAAAGCACAGTTCAGACAAAGCAGATCAATAAAACCACAGTTACAGAGGAAACAAACTGTACCCCTCACTTATAAATGCACACTATAAAAGAAATTTGTCAAAGATGTATAAACAGGTTTCAGAGTGATAGATATTGATAGATACTGTCAAAATGTCAAAAACTGAAAAACAACAAAAATGGAGATACGAAGTAGCGATACACACACACAAATATCTATCTATTATATATTTATATATATGTATGAGTAACATATTCTAACAAAGAAAGCCATGTTTAGCAGTCTGAATATTCTCCACAAGGGGGAGCAATTATTATTTTCTCAAACTGCTTTTTGTGTGCATCACTGAAAGAGAGGAAACCTACACCAGCTGGATCTCACGAATGCACGTTTGTTTGTAGTTGTATACAAGGTAAAATTAACTGTATGCCATTATAAATTGCATGTATATAATTACTAGTTTGTCAAGATAATTGCTAGATTAACTGATTACTAATATAGTCCATAATGATTATATTATATATTAGATTATATGTTAATATCAAGCAATAAGCCCGTTTTTTCCTTCCCAGTGCGAATATCTGTTTATTAACTCTTATTAGTGCTTAGATATCAAATTTAGAACGCGCATGCCTCTTCTTAAAATTTTGAATAATGCATCCAGAAATATTTCAGTTTACACTGCACACATTATCACATTAACAAAAAAAAAAAACCAAACAAAACTGATTAATATGACAAAAGATTCCAAACATCTGAATGCTAACGGTGGGATATTGGAAGGAGTTCCATTTATTGTGTGATAACGCAGCTCTATAAAATACTAGCAGCAGAGTAAGAGGTTTAGAATGAGCAGCTCAACACTGAACGGTTTAAATGGCTCTTACATTAGCATGACTCAGAGTAAAGAGCAGCTGGAGGGCTCTCATTAGCAGATACAGACTCAGATTAGGGCTCCACTGAGCTTTAAACACATCAGGCTTCTTTAGGTAATTTCCGCACTGACGCCCGGCTCTTTCTTTGTCTCTGCATGCCTCTCTGTCCGTTTCCCCGAGGTCTTGTGGGTGTGGTGAGTCAGCATATTGATTTCCTCATTAGGCCATCATGCAGTGATATGCACTCAATCATATGACACAGCAAAAACCAAAAGCAACCACGGCTTGAGTCGCCACTGCCACTGTATTTGCATTATGGGTCAATTTCAGAATACCTATATGAGCATTAACATTATAACACTACACAAAACAGCATAAACAAGGACTGTGCCTAATTAAAATCTAATTAAAGGGGAAATCCACCAAATTTACAAAATTTCTGTATGACTAAACCATTAAGATTTTTAAACAGAGTAGTTTGGTGTGAAATGCTCTGTTCTAGAGAAAGTGCCAAGTCATAATTGTTCACAGTGGTGGTGATAGGAACCAGACAGCAGAATTTAATGCCTCAAGGTTATTACTTGAAATGGTACTAAATATGCTGCCTGATGTCTATTTTATGATAGTTTTCAAATTAGACTTTGGCCTGAAGCTTATTTTTTTCAATACATTAATGGCACAGAGGTACATGCAGGCATTGTGAGGCAAAATAGTCCTCAAAGAAAACCCTGTTTTTCAAATGTACCACTGTTTTACCATCATCAGTTTTACATATAAAAGCTCAGAAGACACATGTAGGTTCACTGGTGGTTTTGGATAGTAAATAAAATGGTTATATTTGTGTTGCAGACATGGTGACCCCTGGTTCCTATCACTTTAAGTTTCTCTACAATTAACCATATCATAGTAAACCACTCTGAATGACTTTGTTTACATCTTATTGATTCAAATGAGCAGACTAAAAATTATTCAAAAAAGTTAGGGCTGAAAATCAATTAAATTATGGTTCTTTAGTAAACAATTCAATGCATTGTGAACACAAATTTCACTACAATTTCGTTTGATCCTTTTGGTAATCAGAACAATGTTCAAAAATACATTGAACACAGCTTTTTATGTTTGAAAATAACCAAAAAAAATGTATTTTGCCCAAAAAAAGTAGGCCAATTTTATTGCATATGGAGTTGGGAAATATGACAAAACATAATATCACAATACTTTATACTTTATATATATATTTATATATATTTATAGATTTATATTTTCTGATGCCTGATAAGTTAGAACAGATAAAACAAAACCAGCAGTGCTACATAAAAACTATGAATACACGGATTTGTACTAAACAGCTCATATCCTGCACTGCACTAATTCCAACTGAACAGGATGAATCATGCTCTTTGTAACGAAACATGCAGCTGGTCAGGACTGACATTATCCATAAATGCTCAGCAAAAGCATACAGTGACACTGTGACATCATTTATCGCGATAATGATAAATATCGTCATATTGCCCAGCTCTAATTCAATACTATTAGCAACTATAATCAGTTATGACATTGTAAAATGGATGCAGTTGAACCACCTCCTTCAGACGATGCTTTTTTACCCCCCTAATGCATCACACTCACCTATATTGTCCTTCTCTTTACACGAGACAGAGTAGCAGCAGATTTCTCTATCCTGAATTGCTGCCAAGTTCCTGAAAGGAAACAAGCAAAGATTAGCGTTCATTTGTCTTAATAGGTGCTGCGCACAAGACAACCCTTGTTCAAATTAATTGCATTGCAAGGTCTGGCAATGGCCTTCTATCAACTGCCCCGGCACAGTGACGAAGAGATGCACAAATAGTCTTTGCTCTGAGGAAAGAATCTTTGTACGCTAGTGGAGAAATTGGGCAGTTTAATACTACTGATGTAAATTCTACATTATTAGTGTATTTTATTTTTTCATCTTCAGCTCCATTTATAGCATTCGTGTGGATTTATATACAAAAAACAGTCATAATTAATTTTATACATGACCACTTTCCAACCATTTTATACATGACCATTTTCCAATATTTATCCCTTAGAACTAAACAGGCTGTTTTTGTTACTGTTCCTTTACGATCGATGTATGTAAATGTTCTCTGTTCTAATTGGCTGTCCTGTATTGTGCCTCATTCGAAAAGTAGCCCACGGTGAAACACTCCTTATAATGTCAGTGTAAAGGGGCAGGGCTGCTGTAGGCTGAATATGTAAATATGTAAACGTGTTGTTTTGCATGACATCACAGGACCAGCTGCTGTCTGAAGAAAACCTCGTATCTCCATTTTTGACGTTTTTGAGTTTTTGACGTCATTTGAAAATACCTGTTACCTTTTATATTGCATGTAAATTTCATGACGAATGGACCAAAAGAAATGACCCAAAATGACTTGGGAAAATGCCTGGTTCCATTGACTAACATTAAAAGTAAAATAGGTTTTTTCCTTCTTCTGTAAAGTTACCATTTTGGAGATATGAAGTTTTCTTCAGACAATAGCAATATATATATATACACACATAGCCTTAACTCATCCAAAGGTATTTGATGGAGCTCTGTCACCCTAAAGAACCCAGTTCAACTGCTCCACAGCCCAATGCTGGGGGCTTTATAGCCCTCTAGCCCACTCTTGGCATTAGGCATACTTTAGACTTTTAGACTTTAGGCACATGTGCGGCTGCTCCAGAGTGTCTCATTCTTTTGGTCAATAATTTTCTACAAAGTTTATACAAGCTTTGTGTTTATTTAAACTCCTGTGTCAGCAGTGGGTGCATCTTAATGCAGCTGAATTCACTAATAAGAATAAGTCAAAATTTGATTGCCACTTTTCAAACATGATGTATTCTGGATATCAATATCATTATTACTAGTTCTGTAGCTTTCAGCTACTACTTTCATCTAGATACATATAACACAGTAATCACCTACAACTCAGCATATAAAATGTTTTATTTTATTGTCTGAAATCTGAAGTTGTACAGTACTATCATACAGAACCATTTTGTCTGAGTGGCAGGCAAAGAGAAGAAGAGAAAATATGCTCAACATGTCATGACTATTTCATTACTGCCAGCCTAGACAATGAATCATATTATACTCATCATATGACTGAGATTTAAGTATAAATGCATGTAATATGAAACATGCTCTTATTCTTCCTCAGTCTCTTTCTCAAAGCCCTTTGCATATCAACCTAATTTTACAAACATTTTAGAGGCTTTTCTACAGCTACATGTATTTAGCACAAGTCCGACTTTTGGGTCTGTTGGTGTTTATTGTGGTTTAGGCTGCACAATAAGGACAAAATATCATATTGCAGGTATATTACTACAGTTGTTCGCAAAGGTTTGAAGACCCCCAGTAAAATTACATGTTTTGATTGAAAATAAGACGCATCCTCTACAGGGGGTAAACTTAAACGTCATTTTTTTAGCAAAATTTAGTGGAAAATGTCTATTTTTATTGCTGAGCTTAACAATCTGGAAAAATCTTAATCTGGAAAAAATGTAAAACATAAAACACACATGCCACATCTTATGACTTTTTCACCCCCAATTTGTTAATTTCAGCATATAAATAGAAAACGTGCACTAACACTTACATAAAATGCCCTGTAGAGAATGTGTTCACTTATTTTTACTAAGAAAATAATCAGAACAGTTAATTTAACCAGGGATGTTCAAAATTTATATTGAGCAGCTCTCAAAAAGGACACTTCGCAAAACTGCTTAAGAAGGAGAAAAAGAGGCTCACATTTTCTCAATTAGCTGTTTCTCGTCCAGCGCGTCGTGAAGGTCTCTCTTGTTGCCCAAAACGAGAACCTGAAAAGTTTCAGAAGAGCAGAACAGCAGCTTGTAAGACACACGTAGTACAGTTCTAGGAACAGTTCTAAATGCTGAAAGCTAATTAATCTAACAGACAGCTTACACTTTAAGTTGGCATGTAAATTAGACCCAAACCTAATTATACCTTATACCTGTTTACAGCAAGTTTTGGGTGACTATTGACTTCTAATGTTCGCTCGCAACATTAACCTCATGGCTCCAGCGCTAAACTGAAGAAGCAAAATTTGGACACTGGACATGTATATCAGCTACACTTGTGTACGTGGAAAACTGCATAAATTAGACTTTTTTAACAAATCACTCCTTTAATGCTGAAGCACCTCTAAGCCAGGACTGGCAGTAATGCTGTTCTGAATGGAGGCTAAAAGCTAAATCATACTTTAATGCCACAAATGACAACGTAATTCAGGTTTCTAAGGTTGAAAAGGTTTCAGCTCCTTAGACATTAGTCTCAGTGACAGCTTAATGCTTTAGTGTATAATTACATGCAATTTACAATGAGAAAACTGGCACTAAGAGCTTTTTGTCCAATTGAAAATCTTCATACAGGAATGCCTTGAAGCTGAGGTTTGTCTAACAAATTGTGCAGTTCGTTTCTGGAGGGCTCAATCTTGTCCCGGTCAGCAGCGTCCACCATATACCTGAGGGGATAAAAGATAAACAAATAAATAAACAAACATGCACAGTAACTGCAGTGAATCATTAAATAAAAGAACCAAGGAGACCTTGTGTCCATTTTCCAGGAGACAGACCATTCAAATGTTTAAAGCCTCTGCTGTGGCTCTTAGTGTGTTCCAGGCCAGTTCGTTAGTAATCTTATAAGAAATGACGACGATCAAACAGAGGGAAAAACATGCGTTTGCTAACCAGAAACAAAACAATTATTCATTTTGCACCGAGTTTTACAAACTACAGAGATACCTGCAAACATCAGGCAGGACTTCAGCAGCTTTGTCATTCTGAACGAGGCGATATGTTTACTTTATAAGCTTAATTACGCTAATAACCAGAAATACGCTCTTCTGTGAGGTAACAGAATGATCTACTTCAGATGGCAGACCTTCTGACAAGCCAGTGCTCTTAATGTGGATGTGAATGAAGAGTAATAAGCTAATAATAACCTAATATTTACAAGGCAGTGAAGCCAGAGAGCTTGTAGAGAGGAGAATTACCGCTCTGTAATGTCTTCCGGCTTTCTCAAAGGCTAGAGGGCGCTCCCGAGAGAGTCCAGAATTAATGAGGTAACATGGAGCATTTGAGTAAAATCATAGTTTAATAAATGCTTAAACATTTTTAATGTAAAAGAATGTATTCATATCCTGAACACGGAACAGCATAAAACATTTTAACACCGCTGTTTTATTTTTAACGCCTTTGAACTCGAGTTATAGGAGTTTAAAACAGCGCCTCATATACGTCCATGACGTCAGTGAACACGAACAGACAATGCGCTGCTCCGCTCAGCAACCAACTGAGGACTCAGTAGCAGTAATGCTAACCAATCAGCACTCAGTAGCAGTAATGTTAGCGTCCTGCTGCCCAAAACCCATTTCAGTTGAGTTTTCTTTGATTTTTTTTTTAGTGAAATACATCCTTTGACTTCCTAAAATGAAAGGAAAGTTCTGGGCAAGTGATTAGAAACTATTTTAACTTTTAATTTTTAGCCGTTTAGCTCCATTCACCCCCATTCACTGAGGACTCTGCTGTTTTGCAGTCATGTTTTTGATATAACGGGGGAAATAAGAAGTGGCCAGGGTCCTCATAAAGCACCTCTGGTGAAGCTACATGGCTAAGCTGTCACAAAGCTAGTGTGTAGCGCCTCCTAGTGGATGGAGGAGACATAAAACTGACTTGGAAATCTTGGGTTTACTACAGTTATGCATCTCACTTTTTTGTGAAAAATAATGCGTTTAAAAGTTTAATATAGTGAGTGATGGACTGGCGACCTGTCCAGGGTGTATCCTGCCTTCCTGGACTCTCCTGGGAATCAGACTTCATTATCAGTTGCTCCAAATATATTCCTGGTCTGGCCGCCATGTACTCACACTATAGCGTTGACTCCTCTGCAGTATCTCTCCCACATGCTCCTGAAACGAGGCTGTCCTCCTATATCCCAAATCTACACACAGAAAACACACCCAAAACAAAGACTCAGCATTTTCTGTAAACATTGCCAACAACTGATTATAGATTTAAATCATAACAAAACCTCATATCTCTGCTCATTGTAAACATTACTTGTGCATACTGTAATTACATGAGCTCATCTAATTAGCAGCACTATATAACATGCTCGTTAGCCCTTCATGAACAGACTTTACGAATGCTTATGCTGTGCTTTTATGCCTGTAAGTGTTTTATGAGCATAAAAGTTCCAAAGTTTGGAATCCCTGTTATATCAACAACCACTGTTATTTTATTTAGTAATGATTTATACAGTGTAGACTAAAACACTACAGACACCAAAAGGTATTTTAAGATGTTTTATTTAATATAACAAATTTCATTTGGTTGCTAAGGTGTTGCTAGGCTGTTGCTGTACTATCCCAATCGCAACCACAACTATTAATTTGCGAGTAATAAAATTAAATCGCCAGTGGCGACAGGTAGCAACTATAGATTATTATTATTATTATTATTATTATTATTACTACTACTACTACCACCACCATTATTATTATTATTATCATCATTATTATTATTGGTAACTATTTATTACTATTGTTCTTTATTTATTACCTTATTTTTATTTATTTTCTTTTATCATTTTCATTTTAAAACGTAACTGATAGGCTATAGCATTGACGCATCCGCCTATCAGAAACACGAAGCAAAAAATATAAGATTTTTTCCACACAATCTACGCCTCTGTCAGACCTTAAGAGGTCATCTGCTCAACCCCAGTCCACTTCAAGCACTTCATGCATAAGTACAATGACAGAAAGGCATTTCAGAACTTCTTGGCTTCAGGAATTAACATAACATAAAGCAGAGTATTTTGCGAATTCTGTTCTAAAGTGAGCAAAGACACAGCTGGAAAAATGGATTTCTTAACAGGAATGAATCATTTAAAAAAAGAGACTGAAAAAACACGGCAAGAGTCGAACGCATAAAAAAACGCGCAATGTTGTTATCGCAGAGCACTCCCTCAGCCCGGGCAGCATCTTGTGCATGCAAAAAAATAAATAAATAAATAAAACAGCCGAGAAATTAAATTCAACACTGCCTACATGATAGCATGTGAAGAACTACCCCTCACCACATTCACCTCCTATATCTTGTTAATGGAAAAAAAGGACTGGATGTGTAAAAAAGTTATTGGACCCTGACTTTTTTCCTTTCAGGAGCCAGTGGCTCCTTAAGCTAATGTTTTATCTGGAGCCCTGACAGATTCTCTCAGTTATTACAGAATCATCTATAGCTCTGTTTATAATTCTGAACACATCTTGAATTTCTTTAATACTTTGTACAAATCAGTTCAAACTTAAAGTTGTAAAGCACTAGAGTCATACTGGATTAATTTTCTTATTACTGGTTTTGTATTACTGAAACCTCTGAACAGTAGTGTCTGTGTCAAATTTGTTTCTGCACAAAAGTTTCTTTCTCCAAAATAATAACTTTGAAGGAGAAGAGAAAAGCGTTCTTAACTTTGGTGACCGCTAATGTAACAAGATTTGAGGTTTTGATATGACAGAAACAAAACATGGACATCAGTCAAAAAACATGAATCAGAAAGTGTCACATTAACTATGAAAAATATTAAAAACTACTTATTAATGTTTTCCACAAACTAAACAATCCAAAACCCAGGTACTGCTAAAATATAAGCATAGTATAGTCCTATATATGCAAAGTTTACAAAAGAAAAATGATTGTAACGGCTGTGGTGCAGGTTTTGAGATTAGAGAATACCTTTATTGTTACGTTGCCTTTGGTGACCTTCCTCATGTTAAATCCCACAGTGGGGATCATATCTTCACTGAACTGGCCCGACTGCAGAAACAAAGAGAGAAGAGAGAGAAGAGATAAGAGGAGCTTCATTTCATTTTACATTGGGCAATCCGCATTATTCATTTCTGTACATTTGCCAGAACTACTTAAACAAAAAATTATATATATATATATATATATATATATATATATATATATATATATATATATATATATATATATATATATATATTCTATTACAACGAAATATATTTATATTTTGGAGTGAACTGACAACATTACGATATGCTTCATTTCCTCTGGTCAAAAACCTGACATGAGACCAAACCTGGTACATAAGAACAAGGAACAGAGGAATGAGGAGGAGAGGAAGAGAGAGAGTAAGGAGGGGGATAAGAGAAAGAGAGAAAGGGGAAGAAGTGGAGGAGAGGGAATAGAAAGCAGCAAGGGAAACATGTGCTAAATGATTAATGCTGAGCCCACTGGAACAGCTCGTGCTCCACGGCAGTGAATTCAAAAGACTCTGCCTAGTGAATAAATTTTTCTACCTTTTTTTTTTTGTGTTCTGAGCACAATGATCACATTGAGTTCTACAGTAAGTCTCTCCACACAGCGATTATATTACTCTGTGCGCTGCTGAATTCAGAAGACTCATAATCCAATAAGCTGCAATTAAAGGGGAAAAACATCAGGATGTGGGTCACATTCATTCCTCGCTATACAGCCCTGATTAACACAACTTTCATCCAGTAGCACAAGAAGTTGTTTTTTGGGGTGGAGAGACAACTGGGAGAGAAAAAAAGAGGAATTTCTCCTAAAATATTATTGTTTCATCTCTGCCTGGATGCCTAATTTTTGGGGTTTGAACAAACCCTGACATAATTTACAGCTTTATTATTATTATTACAGCTATGTTTTCATTTAATAATAAAAATTGATGTCTGCTGTTTGGTTTGCATTGAGTTGATGATGCAAAGTTGGACTCAGACTTATATAATAATAATTAATAACTTGCAGGGGAAAATCTGGGAACAAACTTGAAGTTGGCTTGACAAAGCCATTGCTGTGGCATCCCAGGTGGTTGCTAAGGTGTTGCTCGTTTGTTGCTATGGTATACCACGTGGTTGTCACTTAAGGTCCAACTAAGAACCACATTTAACAACTGAAGTAAATTTCAAATATTATAATTGTGCAAAACAGTAAAAACATAACTGAACAATATATAAATAAACCAGTCGTTCATACACCTAAGCAGCCAGCAGCTCCTGTGGGTCTTGTAAAAACAAAATTTTGTTCCATGTGGCTTGACGTTGCTATGGTAACCCAGGTGGTTGTTAAGGTGTTGCTAGGTTGTTGCTACGGGATTCCAGATGGTTGTTAAGGTGCTGCTAGGCAGTTGATATGGTATCCCATGTTGTTGCTAAGATGTTGCTAGGCCACTGCTGTGGTATCCCAGGTGGTTGCAAAGGTCTTGGTAAGCCATTGCTATGTTATCCCATGTGGTAGCTAAGGTGTGCTAGGCTTTTGCTATGGGATCCCAGGTGGTTGTTAAGGTGTTGCTAGACTGTTGTTAGGGTATCCCTGGTTGTTGCTAGGCCGATGTTATAGTACCCCATGTTATTGCTAAGATGTCGCTAGGCCATTGCTGTGGTATCCCAGGTGGTTGCAAAGGTCTTGGTAGGTCACTGCTGCGGTAACCCAAGTGATTGCTAAGGCGTTGCAAGGCTGTTGCTATGTTTTTTTAATATCAGTAAAAACATCAGAATACGAGTCACATTCATTCTTTGCTATATAGCCCTGATTAACAAAGCTTTCATCCAGTGACAAAACAATTTTTGAGGACGACTCGGACAATGAGAAAGAGGCATTTCTCCTAAAATAAAGGTTTTTAATCTCAGCCCCAAATGCCTGCAAGTTTTTGGGGTTTGGAGCACCCCTGACAGAGCTTAAAAGGGTTTGGTAATAACCTACTGAACTGAATCAGTTATGTCAGAACACGGAAAAAACACACAAATGTGAAACAAAAACTGGACTAATGCTAAACAAAAAAACAACCACTTCCACTTGAAAAACCACAGTGAGTGAAAAAGCAGCTGCATCTACACTGGTATGAATATGTATTACAGACTGCTGAGCTGAACCTCTCGACCCTGTTACACCACCATTAGCTCATCAGTGAAGCAGGAAACAATGCGCTAAAGCTGGTATGGCAGAGAGGATGGGTTGGGTTTTGTCTGTGAGAGACAGCAGGCAGAGAGAGAGCAAATATACAAAGCAATACAGCTGATATCAAGATGCGTCATATTTAGCACTGGTTCACTGAAATGTGGCCTGTCCAAAGTTATTTTCTGGTAGACTCTGTCAGACATGAGCAATACGCGTTTAAAATGTAGGCATTTTGTGATTGTGTTCATTTTTAACATCTCACAGTTCAGAAACCTTATATATATATATATATATATATATATATATATATATACATACAAGCTTTATATATACACATGTGGACCAGACACAGCAGTGCTGCTGGAGTTTTTAAACACCTCAGTGTCACTGCTGGACTGAGAATAGTCCACCAACCAAAAACATCCAGCCAACAGTGTCCTGTGGGCAGCATCCTGTGATCACTGATGAAGGATTAAAGGATGACCAACACAAACTGTGCAGCAGCAGATGAGCTATCGCCTCTGACTTTACATCTACAAGGTGGACTGACAAGGTAGGAGTGTCTAATAGAGTGGACAGTGAGTGGACACAGTGTTTAAAAACTCCAGCAGCACTGCTGTGTCTGATCCACTCAGACCAGCACAACACACACTAACACACCACCACCACATCAGTGTTACTGCAGTGCTGAGAATGATCCACCACCCAAATAGTACCTGCTCTGTGAGGGTCCATGGGGGTCCTGACCCCTGAAGAACAGGGTAAAAGGGGGCTAACAAAGTATGCAGAGAAACAGATGGACTACAGTCTGTAACTGTAGAACTACAAAGTGCACCTATACAGTAAGTGGAGCTGATAAAGTGGACAATGAGAGTAGAAACAACGAGGTGGCCTGATCGGTGTGTGTATATATATATATATATATATATATATATATATATATATATATATATATATATATATATATATATATATATATATATACACACACACACACACACACACGACACGCATGTCTGTATATTCCATTTTGGTGCTTAAACTGATCTTGAACCAAAGAATAATCCCTGAAAATTTCATGTGCCCAGCATTAACATTTCAAATCTATTGACTTATCAAAACAGCATTAGTTTAAAATCAAGGCCACGCCCACTAATCACATTCTACAGATTTTGGTCCTAAATCTCTCACTCTGTCTGAAATGCTGTTAGCAGTCCTTGGCTGCTAAATGAGCTGCCGCTGAGCTACATAACGTTAAATGTGCTAACACCACTGTAATTAACTCAAGAAGAAAACTGTTTCACCATTTGCCATTTCTGTCTGTGACAGCATTATTACAGCACTGCTGTTCAAACCCCGACCACAGCAGAGCTGGCCATAAAACACAGACAGCCTGCTGCATTCTGTGCTCTCCCAGAGGAACATCAAGAGCTCTTCTAGCCATTAGCACCTCCAACTGCGCTCTATAATCACCCCGACAGATAAACCCTCCAGAACACAGCTACAGGGAGTCATCTGCATAAGCGCGAGAGAGAAAACGCTCAGTTTGAACAGAGAGTTCAGGCAAGCAGATGCTAACATCCACATGCGAGTGCTGAATCGGAGCCAGTGTTGTCAGCATGATGTCAGGCATGATGTAATGCTAACTGGCAATGCAAGCCACGTTCTTTGGTTTCTAGCCCTATAAACACGAATGGCAAACCCTGTACCTCTAAAGTCATTATTTAAAGCTTTAAAAATAATCCATGCTGAATAATAAGCTGTTCAGTATTGTTATCTATCACTGTTACGTCCATGAAACTACTAAAAATGGCACAGGAGCTTCGCTAAAGCCTTAATATTCATTAAGAATGCCAAGATTTATAAATATATGCAATTATGCACATTGTAAAATTTAGTTTATTAGCAAAAAATCACTATTCATTAAACGTTAACCCAAAGTTGAACAACTATTAAATGTTCAACAGCGCTAAGGAAAGCAAAGCAGACCCGATTATGCTAGCGCTAGCTTAGCAGGCTATTAACATACAACAAAACAGGTCAGATTCTGTCTTTCTGTCACTCCAGCACCAGTCACTCAACTTCAGTCTCTCCGATTTGAGTCTTTATCCTCTAAACTTGCAGATATCAAACCTGTGTTGTGGTGTATGAAACCATTGTAGTCCGCTTGCTAAGCTAACGCTAACCCCTAATGCTACCATGTACAATGGAACAAGATTAGCATAGCTAACAGCTCAACACACTAAAAAGGATTTACCGCCTCAGATTTGAGCGTTTATCCTCAAAAGTTACATTATATGGACAAAAGTATTGGGACACCTACACATTACACCAACAGGAGCTTTTATGAATCCCATTTTAAATCCATAGGCATTAATATGGAGTTGGTCCCCCTTTGCAGCTACAACAGCCTCCACTCTTCTGTGAAGCTTTCTACAAGATTTCGGAGAGTGTCTGTGGGAGTTTCTGCCCGTTCATCCAGAAGAGCATTTGTGAGGTCAGACACTGATGTTAGATGAGAGGGGCTGAGGTCAGGGCTCTGTGTGGGCCAGTCAAGTTCTTCCACACCAACTCACCCAGCCAGGCCTTTATGGAGCTGCTTTGTGCACTGGGGCTCAGTCAAGCTGGAACAGAAAAGTTTCTTCCCCAAAACTGTTCTCACAAAGTTGGAAGCATAAAATTGCCCAAAATGTCTTGGTGCTGAAGCATTAAGATTTCCCTTCACTGGAACTAGTGGTTCTAGACCAACCCCTGAAAAACAACCCCATATCATTATCCCTCCTCCACCAGACTTTACAGGTGGCACAGTGCAGTCAGGCAGGTAATGTTCTCCTGGCATTCGCCAAACCCAGACTCGTCCATCAGACCGACAGATA